CCTGCTCTCAACACAGTCGTGACTTGTCTCAGATCTGCCATGCGTGCTAAAATGAAAAGCACGGAAATTAAATCTCACCACTGCTGGATTGTTTACAGAAAGACAGAGGAAGGGTCTGAGCTTTGTATGCGTAATTTAATTTGCCGCGTGAACAGGGCAACCGGGCCATTTACCACCCTCCTCCCTGAGACGGCCAGCAGACCATGCTCTTGGAAAACTGCTGTGACACTCCAATTTCCTCTAACTTATTGTGTATTGGTGCTGGAGCTTTGATTACAAGTGAGGCTGCACCAACGGCCATCCATCAGCCCTGCTCCATATGCACAGCCTCACAGTTTAATGACCTGCCGTGTGTGTGTGTGTGTGTGTGTGTGTGTGTGTGTGTGTGTGTGTGTGTGTGTGTGTGTGTGTGTGTGTGTGTGTGTGTGTGTGTGTGTGTGTGTGTGTGTGTGTGTGTGTGTGTGTGTGTGTGTGTGTGTGTGTGTGTGTGTGTGTGTGTGTGTGTGTGTGTGTGTGTGTGTGTGTGTGTGTGTGTGTGTGTGTGTGTGTGTGTGTGTGTGTGTGTGTTGTGTGTGTGTGTGTGTGTGTGTGTGTGTGTGTGTGTGTGTGTGTGTGTGTGTGTGTGTGTGTGTGTGTGTGTGTGTGTGTGTGTGTGTGTGTGTGTGTGTGTGTGTGTGTGTGTGTGTGTGTGTGTGTGTGTGTGTGTGTGTGTGTGTGTGTGTGTGTGTGTGTGTGTGTGTGTGTGTGTGTGTGTGTGTGTGTGTGTGTGTGTGTGTGTGTGTGTGTGTGTGTGTGTGTGTGTGTGTGTGTGTGTGTGTGTGTGTGTGTCCGTCCCTAACGTTGTGTCTTTGTGCACACAGCTCTACCCTGGGGCCATCCTGGAGGTGTGTGGATGAAAATTGGGGAGGTTCCCCCAAGTCCAAGGTAAGTCTTCCGCTAGGACATGTTAGATCTACCCGTTCCAGGAGGCAATGAGTAGTGAATCTCAATGGTTGCTCACGCTCCTTCTCACTCGCATTATTCCCTATTAATACCAATGAATATGATTGTATGAAACTATTTGAATAAATAATAGTTGATGCAATATATGCATAACTTTAGGCCTTAACAATCACCTTTGAAACATGTTGAATTAAGAAAAATAGCTTTAGCAACACCGCCTAACTCAATAAACACTGAAACTTGATTTGATCATTTTATAGGTCGCCTTTTGGTTTAAAGTTAAACGTTTAAAGCACTTTGGCAAGTTATATCATAACAACGCTTAATAAGCACCATAACTTGCATGATTCGCGTTTGTCGTCACACTTGGTTGTTTCCGTGACAGCCAAATGGTGCGTCTGCAAACAATTGTCAGGTCTTTTACCTGGTTAAATAAAGGATATATATAATTATTATTTCCTTTTTAATAAAGTATTTATCCAGTGTATCCTGAGCCGATAACAAATGAAACCCTGAGGCTTTTCTATCATTTTGAACAGCTGTTATCATGCCAGCCACTGAGGTACGTCCTGCTTAGTTCACTCTGTTAGTAACCTTCATTCAATTAGGACCACCACCAGGGATTTGGCTCGCTTGTCTGTCCATCAGCAGGATTAGGGTTCTGATTATCGTGAAACTTGGTCAAAGTCTGTGGCATTGTCCAAGGGAGAACCTATTCAATCATGTACCACATCACCAAGCAGATGCACATGTCTTTTTCACGTTTATTATTATTGTGAGAAGGAATTAGTTAATTTCGGCTGTGTTCACGTGGTGTCGGAATAACTAGAAGAAGTTTGCCTGACTGGGAAAATTCTTGTGAAAGTGAGAACAAATTCGGTGTGTCTACTACATTTTGTTTATAAGCAATTAACTACACCACGCTTTTGTTGTGAACATATCTGCATGGCTACACAAAACAACTCAAGCATCTTTCCAATAGTGGAAACAGGAACATCCGAGGACCTAAAGGCACCATCTGCCCCGGTGTATGTTCCGTTCTCTCCTGTTTGTGACAGTTGCAGCTCTTGCTCCTGCAGCTGAGCTGGTGCTGTGTGTGATTCTGTGTCAATGTGTAACGTTTATCCTCTTGAAATCACTGTTGTGCAGTAGGTGGTCTAAAATGCCCTGAGGTCCGGTTTGAAGTTTTGAGATCCTGTGTGTTGGGAGTAGACCTCCCCGCTCGGTGTAACGTTTGGTTAATGCGGTGTCAGGTTTCATAGATGGAGTCCCTGCCGCTCCCCTCAGTGTGGGGGGGGTGGAGACGTCTGTCTGGAGTCTGTGCCATATGGCTGCCGTTTGTTTGCGTCAGCTGTAGCCCTCTGTGTTCTCAACTGTCTCTGCCGCTGTTAACGGCACATTCCCAGGAGGGTTAGCAGTTGTTGCTAATCACAAACCTCAGTTCTAGAATGAAGAGGCTAATTGACTGATTGATTACCTGACGCATGTCTCTTTGTTCTCATCTCCTCAGCTTTTGTCAGGAGTGACAAGCCCAAGATGTTCAAGGGTCTTCAGATCAAGGTAGGCCTGATGGATTGTGTACAAGCATGATGTCATATTCTCACAACAACACATTACGCTTCATTTGAGTGGAAGGAAAATGCAATTTCAAAGAGAAAATCCGATTATGTCGATCATATCCTATTTCTAAGAATGTTTTCCATTAGTTCAAACCTAACACCGGTCCTCCTTGTGTTTCCCACAATGCAGTACGTCAGAGGCTCGGATCCTGTGCTAAAGCTTTTGGACGACAACGGGAACATGGCTGAAGAGCTCAGCATCCTCAAGTGGAACACAGACAGCGTGGAGGAGTTCCTCAGTGAGAAATTAGAACAGATATAGAACCGTTTAGTTTTTAGTCTTTACCTAAAGGGTCGATTCACCCAAATGAAAATACCTCCAGTGGTGTGTAGCCATGCAGATATTCAGTTTGATGTGCCTGAGATTGAGTCTCCGCCTCAGCTAAATGCAGTTTGTAGTGTTCACAGCACTGGAAATTACATTTCAAATATTCAACAACAATGATCCTTGTCATTGTGGAAAGACCCCCGAACACACTGTCAAACATTGAACTGTTTTCTTCTGAAGAGTGATCCCAATGATATGGAAGAGGACAAGGCCCAAATGTTTTTATTTTTTATTTCTGAACAAAAGTGGGGTTTTCTTCTTAGATTAAGTCAGAATTATAAAAAGGGCAAAAAATCCATCTGACTTTTCTCAGAATTCTGACTCTTGCATACATTAAATATAAAACATATTTTGAGTATCCCAAACAAAGACACTCTTGCATTTTCACATATTAGGTTGTGACGTAAATCTCAAAGCACATGAAAGCAAAACTATCAGCATGGCTAGAAACTGCAATGGGCTACTGAGATTCTTTTTTTATGTTAATACTTTGGGTGAACCGACCCTTGAATTATTTACCAATTTGTACACAACTTGCCCTTCATGGCTTGTTGTTAAATCACTATATGACTGTTTTGTTTTTGTATGAAAATCCTGAATTTCATGTCTGAATTCTACCAAATAACTTATGTGAGGAAAGACTTAATCACAGAGCCCAGATGGGTGGCACACTCAAATAATAATGAAGATTACAGATAGATCATGGATCAAAGAGTAAACAAACCTAATGCATATTAGTGTTTAGTAGCCTGTCTGTGGGAGTTTACACCCCCCCCCCTTTCTGTCTGATATTCTTGTATGATTATTTTTTTACACGGTTCAACGTTGTGACTGATGGGATTTGCAGTCCGAATGGATCCTAGTTACTCTCCGTAGCAGATGTTCTGCTGCAGCACCCGTTGGTGACGGGCTCACAGTAAACCAGTGTTGGGATGTGAGCTCTGATGTTTGTTGTGTTCAGCATCTTCTGCTCTGGAGAGAAACTGGACTCGTATATTGATGCTTGTTTTGGAGCCAGTCAGGTTTAAATATGCAACAATAAACAAAGTCTCTGATGGATCTCTGTCTAAAGATTCTTTTTTTTGTATAGTGGAAATCAAGCATGAAATGATATGAACATTAAATATTTGATCGTCCTTTCCTTATGATCATCAAAATATGCTTAAAAGTCTTCCAATGGCACTTAGATATACCATTATTTAAGATGAGTGACAAACATGTAGATCTTTTTGAAGTCCTTTTTCAGTGAAAAACACCAGGTTAGCATAAAGCCCCCGTTACATCTTGCATGATAATTCATCAGCCTCTATTTTGAACTTCTCTACCATGATTTTGAGTTTTATGGAAGTATATTTAGGATGATTCCAATAATGAAAGTTCACCACAATCTACTTAATTTGATGGTTTAAAAAAAAAATCACAATCCGTGAAGACCCCTTATATCTTGACATCCCTAAATGAAATAAAAAACATGTTCACACATGTTTTTTATCCAGTACAGTTGACACAATCTGTGTCACAATCTGAGCTAAAATCATACACATGAATCTGCTGCCATCTAGTGGTCTGACACTGTACTGCAGTTCAGCTGGGACACCCTGATTTAAACCTTATAAGCATGTCGTGATAGAAGTGTGTGTGTATATATATATATATATACAAACAAACAAGTTAAATTCTACGTGAACATTTGTATACATATTGACTTGGGTACATATTTGGGAGTAAAATGTGTTTCCCTTTTTAAAATGAGAAGTTTGTACTTGGCCCTGCATTTCTTGATCGGTTATTCTCTGAAATTGAGAGGAACCAAAAAAACATGATGATGCAGAGTGAAAATACTTGATCTATTAAAAAATATTGTACATGAATTTACTATCTGTAGCTTGTGCTGTTATTTGAGTTAGCAGTCTGCAAAGCAAAGGGCAGCAGTGTTACTCCTGCATGTTGACAGGAACAGTGCTTTTTGATCATCAATAACTGCATGCTGTCTTTAGATCTGTTACTCTTATTGAACATAGGTCTTGAATAAATCAAACATCAACTACAAGAGTTTCACAAGTTCATAATCAGGTAAATGAACATTATAGGATACAATCATTCAAACCACATCATTCACAAATTAGTCTTTTATTATTATACAAATCAAATGATTTAACAACACTCAAGTAAAAAAAGTCTTCAATTACATTCAGCATTTGTAAAAATATAGAAACCATGGAGACATTCTTGTGAAAATGACTTTTAAAAGGGAACATCTTACAAAAGATCTTCACAATTCAATTAGCTGGAAGCTTTTTAAAGAGTGCAGACTTCTTGTTGCTAGAGTTTTGTATCCAGCACCAAACAATACCTTTTTTTCATGGTTTTATTCTTTTCATTTTAACTGGCTTCCATAGATTTTGAACTGCTGTTACAACACAAGACATATTGACTCTAATCAAGACATATTTGTATGCACATAAAAGGCATCTAGATGGGAATAAAATCCCACAACAATGCTGCATGTGAGGTGCTTGAAGGCTAGAAGTTACACATAATTCTTGGCTCCCTCTGAATGGTGATCAGGCAGAGCGCTTTTGGTGTGGGGCTGAGGTTTGTACGCTACCCCCGGGTAACTGAGGAACAAGAGAACATTGTTGTTTGTATAAGCAAAAGCATACACTCAAATGTATTCAAGAGGCACCTATAGATGATCAATCTGTGGGGGACTCACTGTGGTTTTTCATCTTTCACCATTCCCTTGAAGGCCACGGACTTCAGGATGCCCCCAATAACCAGGACGCCCCCTCCGATCCAGCCTATAAACAGCGCGGGGCCAAATGTGTATCTGTGGAGACAGACAGCATGAATTTAGTCTAGCACGGGAATAATATGGATGATATGAAAAAATATATGGCAATATAATCATCATACCTGGGAATCCCTCCCATTCCTCCCCCCATCCCTCCCCCCATCCCTCCTTCCATGTTGCCTCCGTAGTTGGGGTTGGTGGAGAGCCTGAAGCTGGCCACGATCTGATTGGCGTAGATGGAGGCTCCTGTGATGCCACACACACCTGAGAGAAGAGCATGGAGGGACAGGAAGTCATGCACTTCATAGAAACTGTTAATGTGTCGGCTTAAAGGAACACTTCCCCTCTCTAATGACCAATATATTCAAAGCCTCACTTATACACAATGTGCTCACTACTTACTATGATCTATTATAGTATTGAGCCTATGAGTGGATAAATCAGTCTTGGATTATACTCCACCGCTCTTAATGAAGTATTTAGAAAATAAAAGTACTAATACCACATTTAAAAATACTCAAGTACAAGTAAAAGTCCTACCTTACTTGACAAAAAGTCTGTAAATTGCATCAGCAAAATGTACTAAAGTACTTCTGCATTGTTTTTCTCATGACAGGAAGGGCATAGCAAATCTGTAACAGAAGCTGTCCACAAATGTATATCAGTCAAAAGTACAAAATGTGACTCTGAGATGTATAGAAGTATAAAGTTGCATCAAATGGAGATACTCAATATCTACTCATTGCAAACGTGTGTTTTGATGTAGTTTTGTTGTTGTTAAACGCAGCCCACGTTTACCTTCTTAATACTTCATTCTAAACTAATACTGTTCCTATTCCTCAAGGTTTTTTCTGCTTTTGTACAATTCCTCAGATTTGTATTTTAACACTAAAACAAAGTGTTCTCAGCTCTTTTATTAAACAGAAGATGGAGAAGGAAATATATATACTACATGCAACCCGGTATCACAGCAAGACATGATCATTTGGTTCAGAACCTCTGGAGCCCTTTGGTGCTGTTAAGTGACACTTGAGTGAGTCGTGGATCCTGAGTCGTGGATCCTGAGTCGTGGATCCTGAGTCGTGGATCCTGAGTCGTGGCTGAACCTGTCACCGTGGTCCTGCCTCACTCTCACCTCACTACCTCTCTGATGGCTCCCACAGGATTGTTGACATCCTCGTGGATTCATCTTCTTATTTTTAGACACATACATTTTCAAACATTTGGACTACCTATGTTGCAAATGTGTTATCTTTTTAATTTACACACGGCATCTATTGCACGTCTGTCCGTCCTGGGAGAGGGATCCCTCCTCTGTTGCTCTCCCTGAGGTTTCTCCCATTTTTCCCTTTAAACAGTGGGTTTTCTCCGGAAGTGTTTCCTTGTACGATGTGAGGGTCTAAGGACAGAGGGTGTCGTATTGTCATACTGATATTCTGTACACACTGTGAAGTCCACTGAGACAAATGTAACATTTGTGATATTGGGCTATATAAATAAACATTGATTGATTGACTTCTAAACACAAGAACCCGTTATGGTTTTTTAAATGGTATTTTGATTCTTCGTTCACCATGGAGAAATGCAGCAACACAGGGTGAGTAACTGATAGACAAATCATCTATTTACGGGTGAAGTATTCCTTTGAGAAACACACTTTAAAGGGCAATTCTAATATTGTTTTATTTGTAGCCATACCGCTGATGATGAACATGATGCCGGCGGTGAGGCTCATCTTGGCCTTGGTGGTGTCGGCCATGCTGGTCATCGAGAGGCAGGTGAGAGAGAACATTGATATCACGGCCCCCAGGACCCCCAGCACCACCCCCACTATCATCAGGGCCCGCACCGCCTGGAAGGTTCCTATTGGACAGGAAATAGATATCATGTTAAGTCTAATACTTCTCACTCCAACAAAAAGCTCCACACTGCATAATATTCTGCATCACAAAGAGACAAAGAAATGCAGCTGACAATTAGACCTTGGATTTAAAACTTCATATTGTGAGACGTAAATCATAGTCATTGGTAGTCTGTGTTGGTGACAGATGTATTTATTCTGCCCTCTCCCACAGTGCGTGCTGCAGGACCTGCCCTCTGCTTGCTGTTTGCTCTGTTTCTGATAACTGTGTTGACTCCGCCTGGCTCTCATTGTAGTGACCAGAATGCACCGGTGCTAATGCAAACACTGATAGGAGGAGCGGGCTGGATTCCGGAGCAACAGTTTGAGGACAATGAAGAAAAGTGTTTTAACATATCACCTGTTTAATTTTTTTTTTGTTAAAGGTCACCTATTATGCAAAATCCCGTTTTTCACCTCTTTTTACGTACGTGTGTAGAATTCTGAAAGTTTCCGGTACGAAGATTCTCACTTTTTGTCCTGATCCATTTATATAAAAACCGGTCTGAAAATCAGCTGATCAGATTTTGGTCAGATTGTGTTTTTCTGGGTTGTGTAACCATTAGCCAATAACCAACCAAGGTAACACCCCCCCACCTTATCACCTGAATATCCCCCTAGAGCACCATTGTGGTTTTTTTAATAAACCAATCAATCAATCAATCAATGTTTATTTATATAGCCCAATATCAATAATCACTTCTCAGCTCATTAGCATTTAAAGCTACACACACACACACACACACACACACACACACACACACACACACACACACACACACACACACACACACACACACAGCACACACACACACACACACACACACACACACACACACACACACACACACACACACACACACACACACACACACACACACACACACACAACACACACACACCACACACACACACACACACACACACACACACACACACACACACACACAGAATCAGCACTTTTGAAACAGAGGGGTATATGGCATGCTACAATGATCTGTTTGGTGTTTCAGCCAATCACATGTTTTGTATATCTGAGACCTATAATATATTGTTGAAAAAGAGTATAATAGAGGACCTTTACGTTTTAAATAGCTATAAGGAGTATTTTTTATAGTGTGGTATTAGTACTTTTACTTTAGTAAATACTTCTTCCACTACTGACTCAATCACTTCTAGCACAACAGAGAGGAAGTAATACAAACCAGAAAAATAATGGCATTATCCAGAAACGAATATCAGGCCTGAGATGTGTCTGTAAAATGTGAACAATATCCAACCATTTAGTCAGTGGGAAAAAAAGTGCTAATTTCTCACTGTGGACCCAACGAGAGAAGAGATGGCCTTTTGCTCACACGTGTCATCATGGAAACTCTGTAACTGAACCAGACTCAAATAACCATTTGATAAAAACTAATAACGCCCTTTGAAAAACTACATATATTACATTGCAAAAAACATGGTTGTGCTTTGTTCTACCACGGGTAGGGATATCCACAACCAAAAGCCTTTTTACGGGGTTTGATCCTCGTATATTACAATCTTGAAAGTAGGGAGGGCACTTCCTTGTTACGCCAGCTCTTGACTGTTTGGGTCCAAAACTAGTAACGCCCTTTTGAAAACTCGACATGTGAAAGGACTAAAAAAACACTTGTTCGATAGGGGTATCCAAAAACGAATGCCTTTTTTTCTTTTTCTCTAATTTTAAGGACCTTGAACGTATTCAGAGAACTTCCCTGTTATCCCAGTTCTTGACTGTTTGGGAACAACTTCCTTGATCTGTGTTACGCATTGGAGTTTGAATCAGGGAGGCTCTGCATCTCTTTGAAACCCTTATTATAGTGAAAGAGTTGAAAGGGGGAGGCAGAGGGAGTGACATGCAGCAAATGGTCCCAGGCCAGATTTGATCCCGGGTCCTCCAATCAGCATCTTCACTTCATTACATGTCATGTATCTGACCCTCTAAATAAACTTAAGTACACTTTAAAAGCGTAGAAATGCCGTACACGGGAGCAATTTGGTGGTTAAGTATCTTGCTCAAAGACACTTCAGCATGTGGACTGCATGGACTGGGGATCAAACCACTGGCCCTCTGATTGGCAGACACCCAATTCCCCCCTGAGCCACAGCAGCCTTGATAAAGGTTGAAATGGAACTGTTTTAATTTACCTCAAAAGACAGATAAAGGAGACTTTTTTTTGTCACATTTGTTTAATTAACAGAAAAGCAATGAACTAAACTAGTTTGAATTCAAACAGTTACTTCCTGGAGAATCTCTGCATATTAAATATAAAATTGAGAGTCTTCCTATACCTGAGAATCCCAGCAGGCCGTAGAGCGGACGGCATTCAGTTAACCCAGAGGACGTCGTCTCACAGTCCTTCCACAGACCCTTGTAGGTGTAGACGGACGTCACCACGTCCCCCTGCCTGTCCTTCACGCTCCAGTTGTTCATGGCGGTAGCTGCGATGAGGGCTGCTGCTCCAACCAAACCCAGAATAAACCCCCCATTCTGCAGAACTGAAGGCGCCATCGTTGTCTCCTCCTTTAGAAGTTAGGGAATAAACTGGCAGGATGCTTTGAGCCCAGATTAAATAGATCAAGGTTTAAACTTGAGCTGCAAATGTAAACGTGAGGTGCAGACGGTGTGCAGGCGGAGAATGGAGAGGGCAGAGTGGTGCTGGGTGGAGGCGGCTGGGTTTCAGTGGGTGATGCAGTGATGGGTTGGACCCTGTGCTGAGGTGTGGACACAGTGGTGATAGGAGCACCTGGCACCCACATGAGAACTTACTGTTTGAATGTAAACACAGGAAACTGAATCACAGGTCAACCGCCAACACTGAGCGAGAGGGAACAACCATGACAACACAGTCACAAACAACAATATCATGCATGAGGCAGAGCTGAGTGTGTACATTAACTCAAGTTCTGTATTTTTAAGTAAACATTTGAGTATTTTAGGACATTTTACAGGGGAATATTGTGCTTTTTACTTCATTACATTAATTTAAAGAAAGAGTTCAATCACAAATCAAAATGAAATGTTTTTACTTTCACTTGCAGTCATATTTGACAATCTGTTTTGTTTAGGTGTGTGTTATACAGCAGTGGTTCTCAAACTTTTTTCAATCATGTACCCCCTTTGAAAAAAAAATGCAGCCAAGTACCTGATCAGCGCAAAACTATTTGTTAGGGAAGAAAAGCCTGTATAAAGAGGTACAGTACAGCGCTGCACCATCGGAGTCGGATTTATTAAAACAACAACCTTGTAACTGAGAAACACTTAAATGCTACATTTCAAATGTTTACAATCCATCACTAAATTCATGGCAAACCAATTTTAACATCATGCAATAACACTAAGACGACATTAGTTTCATTGAACTGATCTGTTTAATAAGTTTTACTTACATAGTGAGAAACATGTGCTTCACTGAGGATCTTTGTCATTCTGACAGGGAGGCAACTGCAGTTATTACACTCTGCGTTTTGAAATATGTGTAACTCTGTTCATATAAAACCCACACTGCTCAAACTTCCTTACTTTTCCTAAAATTGCTATATTTATCAATTTTTTTTCTTTTTAAAATGTGCACTTACTTATTGACACCTATAGGAAAAATATGAATTCTTTATTTTGGGATGTCTCATTACCAGCTTTAGTTCCTTTTCAAATTAAGATTTTACATGGAAAACATAATGAATTTATCAAATATAACACATTATAAAGTAAAGTAAAAGTAAAGTAAAACCACCAAAAGTATTTGAAGTTGTTAAGATGAGCTTAACCTTAACATACAAGCGGCTCTTACATGAAACGTCAGTAATAATGATACAATAATGCAAATACTCACCGACAGTGATGATCATCTGCATGATGAAAACTACTTCTGATAATACCAGCCTGTCCTCCTCCAAAAAACGACCAAATAGGTCGATTGTTCAGCAGTTTATTACGACCTATAGACACGTTTGAAAGTTTAGCACCTCTAGTGGTCGTGTAAGAAACGTATATTCACAAATAACCCTCTGGAAAATCCTAAATTGTAGAATAGTTTGGCCATTAAAATGCTTTTTGATTAGATTTCTAGCGAGAAGTGTATATTGTACTTTTAGAATCCAGTCAGTGGAGGCGTAGGATCTAGTTTGATAGATATTACAAAGATTATTTGAGGTCTCGCCAGGAGAACGTGTATGTCTTTCCCCCCTATGTAAAGTTAGCGTCAACCCTCACCGGGTGATTTCCGATCTCGAAGTTTTCATTATAAAACCGTATTCCCCTCACTGTCAAATGATTTTACAGTGATACCTGCCGCAAAAAATGTAAAATCATTTTTTTTTAGAGTCTAAAACACATCAGTTTATCCTTAACTGGTTAATTGGTTTAAATTGTGTACACTGCTTTTTGTTTTTCCCATCGATTTTTCCCTTTCGATTCTGAGAGACACATTTCTATTTGTGAATATACGACCCTCCGGAGTGTTTGTAATTGCCGCAAAGAGGACTTGTTGGATAATACTTGTGTTTACTGGATGACATTTTGGATAAAGGCTTTTGCTTGGAAAATGTATATTACTAATTTTACTTCAATAAATACTTCTACAGCCACTGACTCAGATACAGCACAAAGGATACCAGAAAGAAAGCAACACAATCACAAGAAGTGATCACGTTAGCCTGGACAGAAGTTAAGTTAATATTAGGCCTCAGGTGTGTCTTTTCACTCTGACGTACTTCAGCTGCATCCTGCCTGTGAATTGGTAAAGATGTTGGTGTTTTGCTCAAGGTCACTTGTGACATTTCATCCTATAAGAACCATTGAATACAACATCAGAATACATGCCCATACAAGGACTGTTGTGTAATATTTAATATAGAAATGATGACCCAAACTGATGTATCCGTGGTCAGGTCCTTAGTTTGATCATTCTTCATCACAGATAGTCTGAGGATTATGAGTGGTCATACAGAGACTGAGCTCAGTGCTTTCAGTGTTGTGACTTCCTTCTTACTCATTTTGAAAACAAACAGCAGCTCATAAGATTTCCATGATTCAACTTCTCTCCTTATCACTCTGTCAACAACACGGGCAGGAGAGACGTTTCTATTCTTCTCTTATCAAGAGCTCGCTCTCACAAACTCACAACGAAACTCATTCAGCATGATGGGACTAAATGTAACCTTGTTATGTTTGTCGACTCCATGGACTTCTGTTTTTTTGCATTATATTTAAATAATGTTGACTTTCGTGTTGTTATCAATCAGCCTGTTTAAGTAGAGCTGCATGGTCAGAACATGAAAACAAACCTATCACAACTGATGTCTGACAAAACATGACATCTTATACAAGAAATAACACATTGATAATCAGTAGAGCAATGTGAATCCTCCAAAATACAAACTGAAATGTCAATGAAAGTATAACTTCCCTACATTTGGTTCATTGAACAGCATCTGATGCATCTGCTAATATAAAATGCCAAGACATTCTTTACACTTCTGAAAAAGCTCCAAAGTAAAAACCAAATCCATTTATGTTTTTTGTTACCATTTATTATTTTCAAAAGAAAAACTAAATACAGACGAAGTACAAACAGGTGTTACTGTCCAAATGAATTAATGTAGCCTATGAATAATAATATGTTGCTGTTTTCACAGGTGCCTCCAAGTTAAATGTCTCATTATTATTTAGAAGTGAAGTGTTTTTTATGCCTGGGTCAAAAGAACAATACATTCTCATCAGCTTTTAATTTAAGTGACTGCAGTGTGGATTTGTTATCAGTTATATAGAAAGTGTGCCTGTGAATTTTATTTTGAAGTTGCATTTCTCAAAAGAGTATAAATAACATATTTAACAAAAATCTTTACTGTGCATTAACCTGGTAGCTATGGAGACTAAGTGTTTTTGGTTCTCAGTATGCAGCATTTCTGACATTTTGAAATATTATATCCATATCTTATTTGGCTGTGATATGTTCAGGATAGAAACATGTATTGTTCTGGTTATTTTTCTCATATTTAATGGAGAGTTCCTGTATGTGCAAACTTTCCCCCATGTTGTGCCCGCGTGTCACACACTGGAGCTGGGGGAAGTGTACGAGTCCATGCCGCCCTTGGGCACCCCTCCAGGGAAGAGGATGTAGGCGACCTGCGGCTGTAACCCGGCTGCGGACCAGGCGCTACAGTTACATGGCACCACGTACCCGGGGCCAGAGGGGGACGGGTGGCTGTGGGAGTGCTGTCCGTGGCAGGCCAGAGCCCCGAGCCCTCCGGCAGTCTGGTATCCGAAACTGTGCGCGCTGTAGGGCAGAGCGCCGGCCGCCAGAGCGTGCGGGATCTCATGCGCCATGCGCTGGAAAGCTCCGGTGCTGAACTGCGCCATGGGCTCCAGCAGCGAGAAGGAAGAAGGGGAGGAGGAGGAGGAGGAGACGGGAGCGAAGAAAGCTCTGGTTTTATCCCCGGGGATAAGGAAGGAGTCCATGGAAAATCGCTTCAAATGCTCTACGTCCCCGAGTAAAGACGGGAAAACGAAGCGGTCCCTCTTCAGGAGGCTCTTGGGTTTGCGCCGGGGTCGGTACTTGTAGTCCGGGTGCTCGTTCATGTGCTGAGCCCGCAGCCTCTTGGCCTCGTCGATGTAAGGGCGCTTCTCCGAGTCGGAGAGCAGCTTCCACTCTGCGCCCAGTCTCTTGCTGATCTCTGAGTTGTGCATCTTTGGGTTCTCCTGGGCCATTTTCCTCCTCTGGCCTCTTGACCACACCATGAACGCATTCATGGGTCTTTTGATATGATCTAAAGGTTTTGCCATCTCAGAAGCTGGCACATTAATTATAAAAAAAGGAAATATGTACCAGCTGGACTTTGGATAAAGTCACCTCTCCAAGAAGCGCATGCTCCTTGTGCGTAAAAGGAAAAGTGGTCAAATGTTTCTCTGTCTCTTTTAAAAAAAATAATACAAACTGTAATTCCAGATTGACTCAAGCATTTGCACAAAGTGTGACAGGAAAGTAGAAAGCAAAGCCTGCCTGCGTGAATAGGAGTCACACAGGACCAAGTTGGAAGCTTGTTATGGAGGATGCTGGGCATGCAGACACACTCATCACCACACCACTGTCACCGTGGACCAAGCCAATGGGAATGAGGGAGCGCACTGTAATCCCTTCAGAAAGAATAAGTGACTGTTCAACATTTCTGAGGGACTCCCTCCTTCTCCCTCCTTCTCCCTCTAATATCTGAGGCAAGTGCAGACAATCAGGAAACCAGTGAATAATAATAATGTTGCATATAAACACTGGACATTAGAAGGTTTAGTAAGGGCTTGGTGAGAAAGTAAGTTGTTTTGGAATGATTGTTTATTTGAGAATATCTCAAAGGAAGTTGTTATACTCTTCAAAGTCATGTGACCATATCATTCAATACATCAGGGGTGTAGCCAGGACTTTAGAGATACAAAGTTCATGAATGTCTCAATTTTTTATTATTGCTTGGATTTATTCTAAATAAAAAAAACATAAAAAACAAAGAAATCCTTTCTTACTCTTGCAATTTTGAGTGCTTAACAATTCCAACTGAGAAGTGTCAAAATTAAGCACCGGGTCCGTCTGTGGCGCGTTACGGCTGCGCCACGGTTTTGGTCCGGCCTCCTCCGGCGTCATACCGGGCGCGTTTCAGAAGCGGAGCGTCTTGCCTGCCGGCTCGCAGTTTTTGTTGATTTGGGCATATTTCCTGGACAGGCTACAGTACTTTGTGCAGACAAAGTTAATAATAATAATATTCCAGTTATAAACGACATGAATCAAAGATGTGTTGCTGTATTTCAGTGGTAAAAAAATGCATTCATCATCATAATTATTCTATATATATAATGTACACAGTGCCTGTAAACCGGAGGAGAACGCTGGCATTTCTCCTCCTACTTGAAAGACTACGGAGGGATAGGGTCTGCAAAATGTGTTTATTTTGGGGATGGGCCGGATGCTCTGACCGGTCCATTTCCTGCCCAGCGCCTCGCGTCGCGTAAAAAAATAGACTTGAATACTATTTTGAGCGGAGCCCAGCGCCGAGACGCTTCTGAGCCGTAACGCGGCGCGTCTGGAATAGCACCCATTGACTAGAGTGGCCGCGATCTTTGCGAACGCCGCAGCGCAGCCGTAACGCGGCTGTAACGCAACGCAGACGGACCCGGTGGAATCTAGGGGACGGCCCGTCCACACGGCGGCGTGCGTTAAAGCTTCAACGCTTTGAATGGGGTGAAGTCACGCTTTGCCGAACTGCATTGTGGTTCCGTCGCTTCGCTTTTCTTGCATTGCTCGCTTCAAAAGTAGAGCAATGTTCTACTTTTGAAGCTTCGGAAGCGTCAGCCAATCAAATCATACACGCTCTAGCCAATCAAACTGCGTGCTTGTGTGTCCGGGGCGAGAGATTCATGTGATTGGTTGTTGGTCGAGTGTCAGACATGCCCGCCGCCAAGCTTCAACGCACACCGCCGTGTGGACGCTGCCTAGAGTTCCCGGATTGTGCACTCCTAACGTTTAAAAACCCTGACAAAATCCATGCACAATGCAGGTAAGTGCATCATGTAAAGTAGGCTACAAACAGAAATATCTGAAGAAAAACTTTCAATAAAATAATTAGGAAACTATAGATACCTGCAAAATACAGCGTTACTGTGTTTTCCCAACATGAAAGCCTAAATATTGTTTCAAAACTACAAGGAATACAATTGTGAGGTATAAATACTGAATCCTTGTAGAACATGTTAAAAAGTTGTCAGGCTGGAATCTACCTTTTTAAATGGACAGTTTACTCCTTCATCAAAAGATACATATTATTTCTATTAAGTATGGTGCTAATTATCAATCTAAATGGTTTTGGTGTGAGTTTCCAAGTGTTCGAGATATCGTCTGTAAAGATTTGTGCCCATACGACAATATAATGGAACCATTAGAAAGCAGAAGGAATCATGCCAAGATGCTCATATGAGTTAACCTAAGCTAGCTAACGTAACTCTCGTCCACGAGTAGATTTCAAGTAAATGTTCACAGAAGTGCACAGCTAATTATTATCCAGAATGAAATCAAAGGCATGGCCTGCCCTATTCGGCATTTGATTGGTTTACCTTGAAAATTCTTACCCTGACTTTGCTCTCATGGCTAGACCTCGCAAATCCAACCAAGGAAGGAACCAATACTACACCAAACTTGCCTCCATTTTTGTTGCAAAATCGCAATCTGTACTTTTTAAAACCCAAAGCCAACACAATTACTATTTTATATTCCTTCCCATGATGCCATGCAGCTTTCCTATATATCAATATGTGTACAAGCGGCTCACCTCGCCCTTTTTTTCCAAATCAATATTAATCACAGCCATAATTCCCTGGCCCTGGGTGACTCATTGCTTGTTACAGTTTTCATAATTACTATATTTTATCTGATCAAATGTAGCCACCTTGCCTGTTATTGAAATGACATTGATGGAGAAAAGTCTGAGCGATAAGTTAAGTATAAAGTATACGGCGTGCGTGTATGTACTTATAAGAAGCTAAGGAGTTTATGGAGTGGTGCAGGAATGAGTCCTAAAATCTGGAAATGAGTCAGCATTTTACCACTCCTGGTTCCCTCGTTTCAAAGGCAATGTGTTTATCACAAGCTGAAGAGATGTTCTCGTTTTGTTCTACGACAAAAAATATGTCAGTAAATACCTCGTTGGTAAATGTCTGAAGCTTCGATGATTCATAAAAACAGCGGTTGCTAACAAGTGGCTAATCGAGAAAGGTACACATCATAATGCCGAACATTAGCCGCCTTTAGCTTAGCGGTGGTGAAGTCATGTGACCGTGCTGTAATTCCTTCAAAGCCTAAAGTTAGCTTTTCACTGGAAATTGCATTTACGCTTCAGAAATAATAAAAGTTGTGTTTATTGAGTGTTGCAGTGATGATGTATTTTTGTTGGTTGACCTGGAAGTTAGCATCACAAAGGGCTCCCCGACAAAAAGCAATGGGATTTTCCCACTGGATTACATTGTGTTTTAGAGAAAGATATCTGTGGCAAACACATGTTTATGATACTTCACACCTTTCGTTCAGCAGGAATATCTCCACATCACATCACTTTGTGATTTTTGAAGAGTAAATGCAAACGGGAGAAGTAAAACGCTAACACGAGGCTATAAACACCGCTAAGCTAAAGGTTGACTCGTGTTGGAGTGATGACGTTCAGTTAGCTGTTTTTATGAAGCTTCAGGCATTCATGAGTGGGGTAATGACCAACGTATAGTTTATGTCGGAGAATAAAACATGAATATGTTTTAAACTTGTTTTAACCACAGACCTTATTTCAGGCTTTTAACCAAAAACACGTCCGAAAGTAATTTCCAAGCTTTAACACTCAAACAAAACGTGTAAGTATCATAGACGTGTGTTTGCCTCAGATCTTCTTTTCTACAGTATTCCAAAATTCAATGAAAAAAATCTCATTACGTTTACCTGAGGGAACACTTGCATGCTAACTTCTGGGTACGCCTACCAAAATACACAACCCAGTCTCACGACATTTCGTGTTATAGTCACGACATTTAATCTAAAAGCAATGTATTTCTATTGTGTTTTGTGCCTGCAGCACGTCTTTTTGTCCGGTCGGGTCTTGGAAGACCGGAAGCTGTGGGGTTCATAAAAACATGTTCTTACTCAATATCAAGCCATGATTATTGTTTTTATTTTAAATCGTATAATGTCGGACTTATTTTGTCGTCTGTGAGGAAAATAAATGGGGCTCAGATCCTCAAAATACTGAAATTTGTATTTCTTTTAATCTTTTTTCCTTCTAATTTGTTATTTTTTTCTAAATAACACACTGTTATTTACTCACCAATAACACACAATTATCCTTGTTTTTATTTATTTGTTTAATTCCATAATCTCTGGGTTTTTTGGCGTCCGTCAGGAACTGAATTTCAAAATAAAAATAACCGGAAACAGACGTAGGCCTATAAGGGACATTTCGAGCATCATTGCGATACACAGCCACTGAACTGATTACCCAAGATCCTCATCTATGGTTTAAGCTCGGTGATTGGATGTTTTAGCCGCAATGCACATAGGGATATGGTGTTAATATGTTTATTATATGAAAACCAAAAAACTTTTTTTTTTTTTAAGAAAATAATACTTTATTCCGAGTGTTCTTGCTTTTCTCTTTGAAAGAATAACAAATTAGAAGGAACAAAAGATAACAAAAAATACAGATTTCAGTATTTTGAGGCTCTGAGCCCCATTTATTTTCCTCACAGACGACAAAAAAAGTCCGACATTATACGATTTAAAATAAAAACAATAATCGTGGCTTGATATTGAGTAAGAACATGTTTTTATGAACCCCAAGACCCGAACGGACAAAAAGACGTGCTGCAGGCACGAAACATACTACCAATAGAAATACATTGCTTTTAAAATTGTTCTGTGTGACACGAAAAAAAGGGGAAAATCGTGTTGGTGAACACGAATCAATAGATTAAATGTCGTGACTATAACGCGAAATACCGTGAGACTGGGTTGAAATACATGATCACAACACCACTCTATAGGTAAAAACAGGGAATCACTGCATGGAGTAATACTCAGGAACACATTATACAAGGGGGAATGAATGACCTTTCTTGGTTTCTAAGTGTAAGCTTCTAAGCCACCTCTAAGGCACTGAAAAGGGCTCCTGGAAAAATGATTATTACCATGTCAGAAGCATGATGTGTTTCCCCGTAGGCAGACCTGCGGCGGTTAGTTGAAGGTTTAGGTTTTGGTGGCGGTGATATACTTAGATATCAGGGTACCAACGAGGAGGAGGTCTTTATTTCATTTACCTCCCACAATCAAAGGCTCTGCAGGCCTCTTCAAAGGCAAAATAAATGGACATAAAGGATCCAGTGGTGGAGGTGATAAGACGTTTTTCAGAGTGCAGACGGGCTGAGGGGATAAAGTGATCGTCAGCGGGGGTCAGACAGTTGATCTGTCACCTCGTGGCTGGGCTGTTATCTCCTGTGTGTGGGTTCAGGCCTTCACACACACCCAGGAGGCCCCCTCCGCCACACAGAGACAATGATTACCTTCACAGGGG